TAGTAGGAGAGACGACCTAAGCTTTAGAACATCCGCCTGCCAAATCTAACCGCTTCTTTCGATATGGTCGTCTGGTTGCTGATCGATTAGAAGATCGGTTTGGTCCCGGTGACCAAACCGCCCGTTCTCAATATATAAAATCCCGAAACCGAAACCCGAAATCCTTTCCGAAACTCTAACACTATACTGAAAGGCTTAGAAATTTAATTTTTAATCTTTAAAACTTAAAGTATAGAGTAATTAGATTGCATTTCAGGAACATTTTGGTTATTTTATAGTAAATGTGCATTATTTATTAACATTCGAAAGTTTCGGGTTTCGGGTCACAAGTATAGTTAAAATCTATCGCTATGTGAAGATATTTTCTAATTTATTGTATTAATTTATCCAAAATTATAAATAAATTTTCATAGTAAAATATTCGTTATTTGTATGTTTAAACTACAGAGACCTCTAAAATTCACATTAATATAAAATATGACCACATAGGTTTAAAATTATGCTATTTTATTATCATTTGCAAGTTATAGAATTAAATTTGCTTTGCTAGAACGGGAGTTAGAACATTTTAAAAGTAGTGTTTCGATCCGTAATCCGAGATCTGAATTAATCCTTAAATCTAGATAAACTCAGCTATCCAAATCATAGGTGTTTACTCGGATTAGACAAAGAACTTAAATAACGGACCTAAGGATGCGTCAAAAAGTTAGCTTTAATATATAATCTGAGACGGATTAAATCCGGATATAATATAATTCGGATGGTCTGTCAGAAATAGGATCGAAACACTATTTAAAAGTCGAATTTTCTTATGCTCTATAACGATTTCCAAAATCATGTGATAAACTCTGAGCATTTGCTTCGAAATATGGGATCTTTGCTAGGATAGAGGTTGGACATAGTATTTGGACTATGTCCAAATTGGCAAAAATATGAACAAATCGACTAGTTGAGTCGATAGATAATTTGCTTTTAGCATATGGGAGAAAATTTTTAGTTGGATATTGAAATGGCATTTAGTCTGCCGAAATTAGTTCTTCATAATTGCCGAATTATTGCCGAAATTAGTTCTTCATAATTGCCGAATTATTACCGAAATTCTTTGAACTCTTTTCAATAAAAATATGTTATACAGTATAGTTACTTCGAAATATTTGTCTAAAAATAATTTTTTTTCAAAAATTATTTAGGCACACACATCTATAATTGAAATTGTGATACTTATAAACAGCTTAGCTCAAATGATTCGAAATTAATCTGGTTCAAGTTAGTTTTGGGGGTATTCGAGCTAATCTGTTCGGAGCACTATTCATAAGCAATTCATAAGCATTTTTGCGATCACTGATAAAATCATCTCAGTAATAATACCATGTTTTATACCTTATTGACTTAAATTCTATTTAATCTCGTCGTTCAATTTAAATGATCATTAAAAATTGAAATTTTTCGCCCAATCGGCCAGAAAACACTAACTAGGTATGCATATAATAAAATTTTAATCTTTTTTGATATCATATCGATATTTTTATTTACTATCACGTACTGTGCATTTGAAAGTGTAATTGATCCGATTAGGTATATTTATATAAATTTTAGACAATTTTTGTCAAAAAAAGAAAAAAAAATTGTCACGGACCGGTTCTTTAAAGATCCGAACCATAACCGGAAAAGCGGGTCGAGTCCAAATAAGATTCCGAACCGAAAAAAACTTGAAACCGACCCGGAGTGCAGCCAATCAAAGTACATTATTTAATTTCGGGCTCGGGTCTTCGGTTCGGTTCTGCGGAACACCAATAAATGTTTAAACGCTATCGCTTATGGACATGCTTGGACACTTTTGGAAAGCCAAAATACATTGAAATTACCTAATCATAACCATATCGATATCGATATAAATTTTTGGCAAATCAAACCGAGCAGTGCGCTATATCGATCGATTCTGGATTGGTAAACTATTTACAGCAAGTTATCGGTATTACGGCAAGTTTTTGTGCCGAAATTCGAATCATGTGCCAAAATCTTTACCTATTTATGTAGATACGTAACAGCAAAAATTGCGGTCATATTATTTCGGTAATTAACGGCAAAGTCCTAAACAAGTTTTGCCAACTTGTGTTAATTTTTATAACGAACTAATCTATAACTGATAACGAACTTTTTTATTAAAGTTCGATATAGGAACCAAGTAAATTACTCATCAATATAAAGAAAGTTAACTATATATCTGATATAGTATATTATACAGTATAGTTAATTTAATAATGTAAGCATTTTATTAAATTCATTCCAGTGAGATTATTCTTCCAGAAAACTTTTATAAGTTCTATTGGAACCACTGAAATATCGGAAAAATTTTAAAATCAAATAAGATTTAAAACATTATCATATTAGCATCTAATCTTTTGAGTCTTCGATTCCACCTTGTCCGATTGTAAAGGTACTCTCTGCTTCTGGAAGACATGGAGAGTCATAAATCTTGCAAACTCGAGAATCACCTTTGCCTTTACGTAGAAATAACCTAAAATTTTAAATAACTTTATAATAAACTAAATTTATAATAAAAGGCTCTAGCATTAATCTGATTAAATTGTTTACCTTGTCGTTGACGCGTGAGCAATGATATTTCCACCGATAGGCTTTTTATCATTTGCACCGGCGAACATCATATTTCCATCGACTGATGATACGACTTGGTTTGTAATAACTACAGCAACTCCAAACTTTCGAAAACATTTATTAAATTATAGAAAGTATTAAAAAAAAAATAAAAAATAAAAATAAAATACGCAAAAAATACATACTTCATCAGCTAAACGAAGTAGAGCACGCAAAAATTTTGCCAAATGCATTTGACGCGCGGCAAGTTCACCTCGACCAGAATAATCAGTTCTGTATAAAGCTGTAACACTATCAATGATTAGAAGTGAAAATCTAGAAATAATTTAGTAATAAAAGATAGAAAAAATCGTTAATACATGACTTTAAC